TTATGAGTGGTAAAAACCTGATTCAAAAATCAAGTTGTTGTTTATTTAATGGGGATTCCTATGATATTAAGCATTTTGATAGGTTTTGAAAATAAGATTTATAAAACATGCTAAAAGTAAATGATGTAAATCTTACAGAATAGAAACTCAAAATTTGGCCATTTAAATTGTTGTAGATTTTGTTGTGTAATTTGCTTTCAGTGATACAAAACTTCAGATGTCTTTCTTTAAAAAATAAAATTCGCCGGACTCCCTACAATATTAACAGGAAACCCATTGCAAGCTGTAAATGTGTAAGCCAGGCACTTGAAAACTCAGTGAATTCAACTAAAAAGATGTTAAAACTCCCACATAATCTTAGCCTTGTTTTAGTGATTTATATTTTATTACGTGTTTTGATAGCTGGCCTCGGCCTCGGAGGTGGTGGCCTCGGCCTTGGCCTCGCGGTTGTGGCCTCGGCCTCGGCCTTGGCCTCGGAGGTTGTGGCCTCGGCCTTGGCCTCGGCCTCGGAGGTTGTGGCCTCGACTACAACACTGCTCATTAATATTCGTGAGGCTTGAAAAGATTGAAAGATATTGCGCACGCCAGTGTTACAATATTCAAAATTGCACGTAGCCAAGCCTATTTTTCCAATTTCAACGAAAAGTAATGAACATATCTCGACGACTTTTAGCATCACATACTTAGATCATTAGGCCATACTTAGATCATTAGGGGAAATAAATCCTGAAAGTTGCGTGATGAAGATACGGTCTTACAAATGGGAGAAATTAATTGTCAAATATTTCACCCGCCATTGTGAACATGTACGTCTGTGTACATGTAGTTTCATTCAAAATAAAGTGTTACGTAATCTTAAGAAATCGCCTTTCGCAACCATGTGGCTGCAACTATCCTTTAAAAACTGGGCGTTTTTAAAAGTCGAGCTGTTTGGGTGCTAGTCGTGATTTCATCCGTAAAGTGTTCGCCTTTTGCGGACGTCGAAGAAGATTTATTTTGTGCATTGGTGATTGGTCACCGCTGTTCTTTTGAACATAGAAACCAGACTTTATTCACAGTGACATTTTTTGTTTAGGCCAAAAAAAAAATACTTCTGCTTCCAATTACATGGCATTTGAAAATAGGTGAGGTATAGGAAAATGTTTTGGGGGACAATTGTTTTGTGTACATCATATTGAGGTGTCTACGTGTAGTCAAGGGTTAAGGTAGTAATTGATGGTTTTCGGGTTTTTTCCCCAATTCCCCCCCCCCCCCCGAAAAAAAATTAGGGTAGGGGCTGTCAAAATAGGGTACGTATGATAACCAGAAGCAGAACCATTTTTTTTGACAACAGATTTTAATAAATGAAAGAGACTATTACATGCGTTTTACACCGGACACTATTCTGTGCAAACTCCATTCACCTGTGGTTAAAGAGATGATACTGTGATGTCATAAACGGCACACAGTCTTCAGTTTTGAGGTTTTCTTTCGAAACTGTGAACCAAATCAAACTAGAGGTTCGCGTTTGTTGTTACACACGCAGAGTGGTCGGTAGACAACTGTTTTGTGAAACAATATCCAGTTGGGTTGTGAATATTTTTTGGGTAAGAACAAAGGATCATTAAATTTGAACTTCCGTATACATTTTCGGCTTACGTACAAGTTATTTCCGGTTTGATGACGTCAGTCAAAAAAAGGGAAGGAAATACTGATTTAGTTCAAGGAGAATACCCGTTAAACATAAAGTTAAAATAACTCATTTAAATATGGACATTCTAAGTGTGTGTAATAATAACACCCAACTTCCGGTTAGATGACGTCATAGTATTTGGAAGCAAAAGGTCAACTTTAAGTGTAGCAGATGTCATAAATTGGACTAGGAACAAAGTCATGAGACAGGGATCAAATGAAGTGGAAATTAACAAAATGATCATTGTTAAATTCTCCCTACGGTAACTTCCGGTTTAATGACGTCATGATTTTAAAATCTTGCAAATTCATTTGTGGTTGCTAACGGAATATGAAGGGGCCATGTGGTAGAATTTTGATTGAGGGTTTTTAAATTTGAAAAGATTAAACTCTTTTTGATGTGCCGCTAGAGGGCGCCCTTTTGGGGATGACGTCAAAATTATGTTTTTGTGTTTGGCATTCCTCACTTAACACTAACATAATGTATTTGTCTGTAGTAAAATGCTTTCATTTTAGAGTTATATTCAATTTTTCTTGCACTTCCGGTAACACCGGAAGTGAAGGTCAAGCGGTTTTGTACTAGGGAATAAGAATTGTTGCCCGAGGCATCGTTTACAACCTAACGCAAAAACGAACACGATACTCTATTTAGTTCTAAAGATATAGCTGAAACTATTTTCACAAATTTGGCCCTCAAATTGCTTGTAATTTGATACATAATGACGTCATGATGACGTCAGATTTGTTTTTAACATCTTCGGATGGGCGTTGAAGTTCATACCAGGTTTTATTATTATCCCGTAAATCGTTTGGAAGAAATTCGGTTCGTTTTGATTTTGAGGCTTCTGTCTGTATTCTAAATTCACCTAATTTTGACTTTCCGGTTGATCCGGAAGTAAAGGTCAAGCGAGTTCACGTATCAATTAATGGTTTATCTAATTACAAGGTTGGAACATAGTTGATCATTTTGTTCAAGAGTAATAGGCAAAAGAAGACGGTCATTTTTTCAACGAAATTCGCTTGTAATTTGACACCCGATGACGTCATCGTGACGTCAGAGTAATATGCACCACTCGGGATGAGGGTCGATATATGTTTAAAGTTTTAAGTTCATACCATCAACCGTTTAGGAGAAAACCCGCGGAGAAGTGCCGTACGGAAAAAAAAGGAAAGAAAGAAGATTTGTGAGAACAATTCAAGACAGTGGTCGGGTTGTGCCCGACCACTCAATTAAACATCGAAATCATTTATGCATAAAGCCCGGTTCATACTCGGCGCGAAAGCGAAAGCGAACGCGAATTTGGGACGTCATGGCAAGTATTCGCGCTGCGAATTCGTAAAAGTTGAACACATTTTAACTCAGCGAATTTCGCAGCAAACGTGCCATGACGTCAAATTCGCTTCGCATTCGCATTCGCGTGGAGTATGAACCGGGCTTAAAGCGCATCAAAACAACCTTAGTCCATCCAGCAGCTAATGTACGAGGATGTTAGGGGTAGTATGGAAATAACCCGCCTCCCCCCCCCCCCCCTCCGACCCACCCCTAAAGCGCGTAAAATAAAAACAACCGAGGCCACCAATGTCCTTCTTCCCAAAGCACGAGTATGCAATCGGGCCCCGTTCATATCGGCAACTCAATTCCCCAACCTGGACAAGACCCGTGCCTGCAGAATAACCAATTGACAAAATCATCTGCCCGAGCCATATGATATATAACGCAATTCAATAGTTTCCAAAGACGTTATAAAATACGTCAAAGGGAAAGACGTGCAGGTGCAAAATGTTAGCATGAATTCATCACACAAAATGACATTACATGTACATATTTTTCAAATGAAGCACTTTAATTAGTTTAAAGCAAAAATCACCTTCTCTCCACATGACCAATATAGGGTCGCTTGTGTTAATTTAGTTTTTTTTAGACTAGGCGATATTTTAAAAAAAATTACATGAAGAGGCGGGAGGAATAATGTTTATATTTACATAATTGAGTAGTCTGTTTGATATGCATGGAGTTATAACTAAACACAACGCATAATGCCGGCATTTCGTCGAGAGGGGCGCTATTTACATTTTCGCAAAATGCCAAAAGGAAGGAAGTGGCGTCGACTCTTGGTGCCAAACGGAGCCCGTGGGAGTGAAAGGGTTAATACTGATGTTTTGTGAGACTACTTGATGATATCTGAGGAAAAGTAAATGTGCGCAACCTTAGGGTATAGCCATTTGGGATTGTTTCTATGTCCTCATAACTATTCAGCCACTTATATGCTTTAGAAAATGTTATTGAAGTCAGGAAGTGTAAGTAGAATCACCAAACTAAACTTTTCAAAAAATAAAATAACAACAAAATATACCCAAAATATGGGGGAAAATATATTAAACGACAGGTATTAAAGATTTATGCAAATTAGGCATATTTCCACTAAAAATGACCTAGATGACCCCCTTTTTTGGAAATATCGCCTAGATTATTTCTCTTTTTTTTTCTTTTCCTCTTTTTAAAAAAAAACAAAGAAAACAAAAAAAAACTCAACGGTTGACGAAGAATTTTGAAATAATAAAAAAAAAAATTCAAGACGTGCTCTTCGACAAATTCGGCTCGACTCGGCTCGGCTCGACTCGACTCGACGACTCAAATGGAGTTAGATCACTGCTTCGGCAGTAAAGGGACGACGACCGTGCTGGAACGGAGCCCAATTGGGCTACAAAACGCGCTTTGAACGGAATGCTGTTTACTCGGAAAGAACATTAAAGGTAGGAAATAAACATCCACACAACTATCTTTAAAAACTGGGCGTTTTTTATTCTTGTGTTATGCGTGCGAGAACAACTTTCGGGGTCAACTTTTGCGACCCCAAAAAGTCAGGCTGTTCATGCTAGTTGTGATTCTAGCCATAAAGTGTTCGCCTTTTGCGGACGTGTACTAAACCACACTACTGGTGTGTGCAATTGTATGTGACACACACAACGTGTATTGTGTACATTGACTGAAACGGCAGGAAAAACGTATGCGTACTCCGTTGTGTCCGATGTAAACAACAAAAAAAATTTTCGTCTTTTCTCGAGAACGGTATAAGACATCAGGTTGGTTTCCTTTCAACCAGATGTTTTAAATATGATACGCAAACAAGCAAAAACATGAACATTTCGCGGATTTCATGACGCAGTACCCCTTTAAGAATGACTGGATTCGTATCCAGTGGTACCGTTTTACGTGTGACTCGATCGTTTGCGTCATTAATGTTACAAACAAAGTTGCGCTTCCCTTTGGTTGCTTCAAATTGGACGTCAAATATGAAGTAGGCCTAACTATTGAAAGTTGGGCCACCTCAGCCTTGAGGGATATTTTCGACGCGATTCCTACGATATCTTCCTAGCGTTAACAGGTCACTGAGCTGAGCCCGGAAGTGTTTGTAGATGAAGCTGTAAATGATCGGGTTGATGAAGAGATTGCAGGCCAGCAGCGTGGTGAAGGCGGTGTACACGGGTTCGTTCGGCTGTAGGTCAAGTAGGAGCGTTCCCACGTAGTAACACTCAGTCGGCGTCCAACAGATCGCAAAAACGATTATGACCAGCAGGATCGTAACGAGAATGTTCTTTTTAGCTCTACGGATGATGTGCTGTCGAGGGTTCACTGGATTCGCAAGATTCTTCGTCAGCATGGTCAGTATTTTGACATAGGAGTACGTCATGATGAGAACGGGCACGACGTACTCTATGCTCAACGCCAACACGCCAATGCAAATCTTCAGAGAAGGGCTTATCGGCACAAACTGGCAACGCCCTTGGACAGGTTCCACCATGAGTGTCATATGGGAGCAGTAGACGAAGCCCACGACCCAGGAAGTCACCATGGCGCCTCGTCTCAGTTTGGCTTTAGTGCACGAGTTGCGCCATTTCGCCATGTGGCAAGTCGCCACGAACCGCTCCAGTGAGATGGCGACGAGGTTATACGTAGACGTAACGTTCAAGCACCACAGGAAGAAATCAGAGAACAGCAAGCTACAGATCAGTTTGTCGGAGAGGTTCCCTTCCTTAGACACAACAACGGTGTTGGGGCTCTTGAGTACCGTACTGCAGAAAAACACCAGCCCGGCAGCCAAGTCAATGCAGGACTGGTGCAGGATGAGACGGTTGGTGAAGGAGCTGAACATCTTATGCCGGAGCAGCATAACGATGATGACCACGCTGTTACCTAGAACTGCGAGGCAGGCGATAATTGTCTTGACTGCACCGAGTGAAGGGCTGACCGCCACGCCGGACTCAGGCCATTCATCGCCCGTACCGTTCTCAAAATCGCCACTCGACAAATTTTGATTTGACGCCATCGCAACTAAGGAATAATTGTTTGTTCAGTTTAGATTTCGGTTTGCCTCTGCGAAAGACTGCGAGCTTCTGTAAAGTTGTCTGGAACGGTGTACCGCTTCAACCGAGCTTGGGGCGTGGTTTGTGCGGTTTTGCTCTCAGTGCAACGACCACCGACATCAGCGCAAACTCCCACAGTGACGATTTGTAGAGAAACAATTACCTTTTTATGCGCGGAGCTAGCGCGTGCGTCATCAGGACCGTCTCTTGATTATGTACTCCACGTAATACAATCATTTGAAGGTCTCTATGTAGCAACCTGGAAAAAAACTGAATTGAATTACGTGTTTTTGATAATTATAAGATGACTTGTGAGATTTCCCTTGGGACAATTCGCACATCACGCACGCTCTTTACACGTACCAAGGCAAGCTTAAAGCAAAAAAAAACAACAATAAGTTTTATCTTTTGAATTAGGAACGCCCCGTTCGTATAATCAAATACTGATGTTGCGTGTGGCGGGAAATTAAGTAAGTTATTATTTTGGAAGACAAATTTATTGCACGATCCAGATCCAGATCCAGAAAGGCAAACTGTACTAAGTTTTGGGTGTTTTTCCCCCACATAGTCAGTTTTACCTACAAAACGCAGCATCCGCGGCGGCCATTGATGTTCCCGGAGCCTACAAGGTTATGGACGCAGCTGCGGGTCCATGGTTCAATAAAGGTTCAGAATTGTAATGAAGAAAGAATGTTCTGCGCTCTGAGGCTGAGAAGAAAATTGTACGGGCCTGTAAACAAGGCCACCAAAACGATATGGTACAATAATGGTATTCGTGATTGCAATGCAGGTTAACTACATTACATGTATTGTTATGGGATATATATTATGTAAAATATACATAACTTAAAGATTTTGTGATTTGAACAACCCTATTTCTCACTTGACAAAAAAAAGAGTAGAATGCAGTATTTTGTTAAGATTAGAGATATAATAGATGTGTTTTATTATAATGCACAAAATGTGCTTGAGAGAGCTCCTATCTCATGCACGTCATTTGTCCCATTCGAGGGGTCCTACTAAAGCGCGTCAACAAGCGTCAACAAGCGTCAACAAGCGTCAACAAGTTTTAGTAGTCGTTAAGTGCGCGTCAACAAATTTTTTATAGGCTTTTGAACAATAAAAACAGCTTTATATGGTAGAAAAAGCAATAATGAACATCTTCTGCATATCAATTAAAGTTAAAATTATTTTAAAACTTGGTTTTTTGAACGCGAAATGTATGACGAATTTGTCGATAAAAGTAGGCCGCCATCTTGTTTGGATGGCGCTGTAGACTTCGCGCATGCGTAGTATGGCTCTTTACACTTCACGCATGCGTAGTACGGCTAGCTACACATAAACAAGATGGCGGCCTACTTTTATCGACAAATTCGTCGTACATTTCGCGTTCAAAAAACCAAGTTTTAAAATAATTTTAACTTTAATTGATATGCAGAAGATGTTCATTATTGCTTTTTCTACCATATAAAGCTGTTTTTATTGTTCAAAAGCCTATAAAAAATTTGTTGACGCGCACTTAACGACTACTAAAACTTGTTGACGCTTGTTGACGCTTGTTGACGCTTGTTGACGCACTTTAGTAGGACCGCATTCGAGGGGTCCGGAAACGCGCCACCAGTGCCGGCTGGACTTTTAGGCTCTATTAAAAAAACTCGCTCGTACAGTACACCCGCCGCGCCGCTAGGCCTAGGCCCATTTGCAGGGCGGGCGGCGAATCTTTTTTTCAAACGACATCCGTTTCCCATCTTCTGATTGGTCCACCATGATGCATATCTAATGCCTTGTTCTCCACAACACAAGCCCAAGCTTTAGGCTTTACGTCCTTTGTGAGAAATGTTCCTGCCCAAGTAAAATGAGAAGAAGTGAGGCTCACTGAGATTTGAACTCGGATCACCTCATTAGAGGGACGGGCCGGGACTTAACAGGCGGGTTCGCCCTGCAAAAAAAAAAGGCGGGGGGGGGGGACGAGCGAAACAGGCGGGCCCAATACTGGGAAAGATTTCCATATAAGAAGTTCACTCAACACCCTGTGTACAAACCCTATGAGAGTGGACTGAAAATTCTAAGTGTTTTCTAAGAAAATGCTTGTATTTTCTCACTGCTCAAATTGACTTTGATGACATGAAATTGCTATCTGGGGGCTTGTTAGTCAATACAGAGGAAAATTAGTGAACTTCTTATATATGGAAATCTTTCCCAATACTTTTTCCCGGCCCATGTGAAGTTCGGATGACAATGGAGCGAATATTAATATGAACGCATGGTGGCGCTGTGCACAAACAATGACCTTTTGACCTGGGTAACCGCTTCACAACTATCGAATTTCATTGGTTGTCGTGTGCGTGACGTTCCCAGTTTGCTGTATTCTGATTGGCCCTCATACTGACACAGCGGACATGGCGGATACGCTTACGACTGCGCTAGAATCTGGCGCGAGAAAACTAGTGTGAATAAATCAGAATATGGTGTGAAGTCAGTTTTTTTGGTAAGAAACATTGACATCTTTTCCTTTGTTTTTACTCTAGTTAGACCTTGCCCATGTGCCCACAAAAAACAGTCGCATGTGCCGTGCCCAAGCAACGGACGTTGATCATGTTGATGGTGGAGTGTACTGATTCGCCATGATCGCGGCGGGAACTTTAGGCCACAGCCAGGCTGAAGTCGACACAACTAACTCGGTCCCACATTAGCCCAGGTTGGACGTCGTCTACATTGCATTGCGACTGACGTCCAGGGTATAACGTTTTCATGTCATTGCGAACATTTGATTGAAAGCATTTTCTCACATTTTTACCTTATAGAGGAAGCTCAACTGGCGTCAACATATTCCTTGTATCCCTAATCACTCAAATTCATGGTTGAGAAGTAATGAATATGTCCCAGGAATAAAATATTTAAGGAAATTATCCGCTAATTCGTGCTTCCGATTGTAAACATCTCGAACCGACTGCTCGTGTGAAGGCTTGCGCTTGCGTGCGCGCATGCGCGAAATGCGTAGCAACTGAACGGCTCTCACGCATGCGTATTAGAATTGTGGGCGTATGCAAGTGTGTTCGTCACGCCGTCAGACAAGCACATGCAAATTCAAGTTGCAACTTTCTGAATTTCCTCAAGTGTATCGAGCACTTTGCAATGTCTTCATCTTCGAAATTTTGTGTAAATTGTGAAACGACCACGTTTGAGAAAGCCGAGCGAGGCTATAAGAGGCATTTGGTGAAAGTTTTGTCAAGCCCCGGCACATTCAGAAAAGCGTTCGGCAAGGTCATAACACCAGATGAATGTAAAACACAATTCCTGTGTTCAAAGTGCAAGGAAACATTAGTTTCCCAGACCGTCCCAAAGAAAAAGGGTTCACAGAAAAGAAGCTTTCCGAAAAACAACAACTCCACTTCTGATCCGGCTAAGCGACAAAAGACGAACTTCAAGACAACGGCGAAAAAACTCATTGACGAGTCAAAATACACGCAAGTGCTCAGATGCCTGATAAGGGGAAGCAAAAAAGCACAGAAGGCTATCGGGAAAGTTTGTGTCCAGCAGATTCAACGAGAGGTAATAAAGATTAAAAAATTCGTTATGATTGTTTTCATTTGTGTATTATTGATCTACATTATATTTGTATATGACATAAGCATTTCTGATAAGTGGGTATTACGCTGGACGTTTTATAAACGTGTGATTATGTTTAGAAAAATATTATAATACTGTACCTAATTAATCAAGTGATAGCGAAATTTATGGAAAGCGTGCAACAACGGTGGATAGACATTAACAAATTGGTGTTGTGTAAAATGTTTCAGTTCATCGGGGATATGCCAAGAACATTTTTGGTTGAAGGGACGCATTTACCTATAGTATTCTCCCCCACTGGGCTAAGCCTCTACTCATATGAGCCCTCAAGTGGTATTTGTTCACGTCGTAAGTTCTAAATTGCTCAGCGCCTATACTCGATCCAATCTTCCAATAATTTTCTAAATGAGCTAAGCGGAGTTACCATGTTGAATTCCGACGGGGATAATTATCTTTACACCTCACCGCTCCTCTTTCCCTCACCTTTGCAAAAAGGCAAGAAGGGAATAACTTTTCGGGAATAATTGTTACGACGAAAAAAATGCGGGCAATATTATAAGTATATTGTGGGCCGAAAAATGGAGCAAAGCCCGAAAAAAATTACGGTAACATTCTCTGATCTTTGCCCCCCCTTCCTCGTTCGTCGTAAGAAATCACCGCCTTTAGAGATTTATACTATATGCTAACAGTGCTAAATTTAATGGGTATTTATTTTGTCACACTATACTATACAAAACAAAATGCCCGCTGAGTTGTTGCACAATTCCGTTCAATTTTCAGGCTCGGGAAGTCAGTCAAAAGAAGAAAGGACTTGACGCAGATGCCGGTATCTTCGGTGGAAAGCTCACACTGGAACGATTACAAAAGTTCGCGTGGAAGGACCTCATTAAAGAGGCAAATTCCAAGATGCCTCTACTAGTGGCAATGATACAGGCCTCCTTACCAGCCAAATTGAAAAGGTAACGAAGATTACAGTGAACACTGTATGAGCTCTTTCCGAACTTTCTGACGTGCATGCATGCAGTATTTTATTGCGATCGTAATGAATTTCCGAAATGTTACACATTCGACACTACCCAATAACGTATTATTTTCTGCCAGAATGAACCAATGCATGCATTGTGGGAATAGACAGTTCGAATTTGTTTTCCCCGGAAATTTACCCATGATTATACTAAAAATTATGCCAATGCATTGTGGTCTTAAATGCTTTTCACACTAAAATATATTATTATACAGGGCCGGACACAACATCATAGAGAAGCGTCTGGGCACTATTCTGTCGATCATCTTTTTCACACGAGCGCCACGGAAATACAACTTCGTCCAGGCTACCTTGAGTGTTGAATTGTGGAGGCAAGGCTGTACCCATAAATTGTTCCAAACGCTCAACCGTCTAGGGATAACACAGGGCCTCCAGACTGCTCGTGCACACGTCGATAACATCGCCGCTGACCATGACAACTGTCTGGTCCAGTGGAAAACATCAGTTGAGGTATAACTATGTGAATCTATGTACAATGCACAGAAGGCTCTGTTGAATTACCACCCTGTGTATTACAGTACGGACAATAACTAATTATATATGAGATTAAATGCGCAGGACAATAACTAATTATATATGAGATAAAATGCGCAGGACAATAACTAATTATATATGAGATAAAATGCGCAGGACAATAACTAATTATATATGAGATTAAATGTGCAATACTGTATACTATAAAAAAAAAACTATAGGCCTTTACGTTTTTTCTTTAGTCTAGCGATAATCGCAACCACAAAAAAGCAGTACGGAGAGTGTCGCAAACAGGAGATGAAGGTTACGGCGTATGTTGGGACAATGTCCAAATTAATCCCCACTGTAAACATCAAGGCAAAGACAAGAAAGCCGAATTTCTGCTCTGGGCTCTGTCATTTGCTTGCAACAACCGAGTGCCGACACTCCATCTGATGGACACAACTACCATCCCTGCTTGTCAGCTGATCCCATGCATCATTCCACAACATCACGACTACGCAGAGTTGAAGAACCTGATGGTCTATCTCACAATGAAAATTCTCATGCAGCATCTCCCCGTCATGGACCCAATGAAGAGACACGTCCCCCGACGCAAACACCAGTACTCCACTGAAATGTGCAACAAGAGTGAAGTGGTAAATAACTCTTTTATCTTTATTTCGGGGGAAAAACAATCCAAACTAACACAGACTATAATGTATTGTTAAATTGTGCGAAAAAACAATGCATAAAATAATATTGGCATCGTTTGAATAGATAAAAACATTGAAATAAACAATGTCATGTTTACTACGTGAAATACAGACCAAAATGCACAGACAAATAACTGACACTACTCAAAATCAGGTCAATCTTGGAGTTCTGGAAGCCAATCCGGCATCAACTGCTGGCGTGATCCAGATAATGCAACATCTACATGCGTACGTGCCGGAACCCAATGGTCAGGTCCTCCCCATCCTATGTAGCGGAGACGGACTCAGCGTGGAGAGAATGGTACATGCAAAGAGGGCAAGAGTGAACGGGGAAAGTAAAATGCATCGACTACAAGGTCTCGTAGAAACACCACAGGAGTTCCACAAGGAAATACTGTTGCTACAGGTAATGTTTGTCGATAGATTTCTCGTAATTTCATGTATTCAGGCAGAAATTGTGTAAAAAGTTGATGATGTCTACGGGCTCGTTAGACATGGCACCGCGAAAAATAATTGTTAAAATGAATCGCTATATTATATAATCATTCCAACATCTAACCAAAAAAATAGGTCAGCGATAAGTGATCAATTCATTTCAATATTTAAATTGTAATATTGAGATAGTCAAAATAATTTAAATGAAGTTAAAAACTACTTTCTTCACACCTATTTTAGGACACAGTGAACATGCTGTACAGTGGCAGCAGTATTGCTTCCAGAGGGAGCCTCGCACACATGAAGGTGTTTTACAATCACCGATCGATGAGCACTGATGTGAAACAGAACGTGCAACATGCATGGGATTTAATAGAGGTATGTGTACAATGCTTATCAGCAGCTTCTTCTCACTACATCTTGGCTTCCATTCCCCTTATCTATCCTTTTGTTTTTTCCTCTTAAGTTTACAACAGAAGCATATGTTACCATGTTCGCCAAGACAATCCTCAACCTTGATACCATATCTGACGTGCCTGCAAATTTCCCGTCTACGGGGAGAATGGAAGAAAAGGTTGAGTATCTAAGGAGGTTGGCAGAACAAATAGTGGACTTCTGCTGGTTGGCACCTAAAAAGGAAGACATCCGAAAGGTCAATGCCAGCGCAAAGTCATCGGCAATTTTCCCAGAAGAGTCTTATGGATTTTGTTGTTGTGATGAAGGTGAGTAGTAGCAATTACAAGTGTTTCCAAATTATAAAACCAGCGCTCCCGCCGACCCAATCAAAACAATGACTATGATGGTGATGATGACGAAAGACATCAATCGTATTTAGAAACAAATTATAAAATTTATACAAAAAACCTTGACGATATGTGGCTACCCACATATCATCATCATCATCATCAATTCACAATGGATTTTTTTAATATTGAAATAACGTTTTCCATCGTGCACAGAAAAAGAGGAACCCATGATTCAATGCTGCAGCTACCAATGTCCCTTCAGTTGGTACCACCTCGCATGTGTTGGTCTTGACGAAGCACCCACCGACGATTGGTTTTGCTGTGACGATTGTGAAGTCGATGGCACATACATATATTGTAGGTGCCACAAGAGAAAGGGCGGCGAAATGATTCAATGCGCTTTGAAGGACGCCTGTCGCAATCAGGAGTGGTATCACAAATCGTGTTTATCTGACAACACATTTCCGGGTAATGTATGACTCTTTTATATGAGGATATAATTTCTAGGCCACAATATGGCCGATGATAAACTTGAACTTTACATTCTTTTTTTTTTATATTTTATTTTATTATTTATACGTATTATTAAAAATTCAATAATATTATCATAATATAAGTATGTAAATACCAAATTAATAGAGATTTGCTTTTCCTGCATGTGTTCGTATAGAGGTATGGTACTGTTGCGACGAGTGTGCACTGGAGACAGAACATGATGACTATGTATTAAATTATACGAAGGCCCTGATGTGGCGTGGGTTGAACCATTTGGCAAGGAGGTTTGCTGTAAGACACGGGGAAGGAGAAACAATGAAGTCTCACTGGAAGATGGATCTACTAGAATTCTGGTCTTCTCGGCATCATAAGTACTTGAACATCGCACAACAGTTTTTGACAGGTCTGTTGCATCCTTGCTTCATTTGCAATATTATATCCACCGTGCATGTTACAAAATGCTGTATAGTATCCCGTCATTTGAAAAAGTCACCATGTGGTATCTTAAAACGTGTGTCGAATCATCGGGTGCATATTGTGAATTGAAATTCATGGGTATTTCATTTTATCTTATGTTTTTTTTATAGGTGTCAGTGGCTTTTTGTCAGAGCGGCTTCGTCATGACATGACATGGAATCGGGTAGCCAACGTACACGGCAAGGAAGGGGCAAATATCGGCATGGATCTTCTGAACGAATTTCTTAATAACGAGTTCAAAGGTATCGACATACAATGATGATGTTCTTGACCCTGAACAGATCTTCTCTAGGATCAATGTGTTATCTGTAACTGACCTTAATTGTATTCATGTAACAATAATATGATTTGTATATCTTTTAAAGACATGCTGCTACGATCTCGAGGACGATATACCCCCAAGCAGGTCCAACGCTGTGCCCAAATGAGTGGCGCTTTCGGAAAGCAAATCGACAGGCTGATTACGGACGGGGGGCTTGGTGATTTAGTTCAGGGCAACGGTTCAAAGACACGCCACGCCAATAAGAAAGATGTCCTGGATTTTGTCAAAGAATTCCAAAAAGACCTCCTGTTCGTCTACCACCCAGGCCGTTATCATCGCGGATTTGAAGAATATGCCTACAGCACGGGTATAAAATCACCGGATCTGCTCGGGAGAAAGCTTCGCAAAACCGCAGAAGTTATGGACATGTGGAAAAATATAACCGACTAAAGGTAAACTAGTAATTGTGATCTCTCTACGCTTAGCATGGAAATTAAATGTGTTTTTCATTATATAGCACTGAAATTGAGCCGCACTTATAATGTCACTCCAGAGAGTGCACTGAAACAAACTACAGTTATCTCCGTTATCAAATGAACAACAGACAACACAAGAGATTGGATACTGCTTATTTACATTCATTTATTGGGTGATCTCCTCTTTGCATTTTTCTCTTCTCGTTTCTTTTTCTGATCAACACAGATTACTCCTCGCACCCATTGCAACATTGTTGGCAGCTCCCCCTGACAAGTTTCTGCATGCCAGAGACGTATAGATGTTGCAGGATAACTGCCCTCACGCACTGGTTTGATGTTACAGATGCACAGACCTCCATCATGCTATGGTCAACCATCCGTTTGTTGACAGACCGCGGATAAAGATAAAGGTAGCTATGCCCCTGCCGTCCGTCTCGTGCACAACGGCCAACTTCCTGCCAGTAGCTCAGTACATCTCGAGAGGGGCCCCAGTGGATGACGAAGTCTACGTCATTGATTTGAACCCCCATCCCAAATGCCATTGTAGCTACCACACATCGAAGGGGAGATGACGACTTGGCGAAGGACGATACAATCCGTTTTTGGCTCTCTTGGTCTGTGCTGCCGTGGTACATTTCCACAATTCTGTTGTGGACGGTGCGATCTGAGCCTGCCCAGGCCATCTCATTCAGGCTGCTCATGAGCCACGCATAAATGTTTGCGACTTCGTTTACTTGCCTACAAAGAAAATACACAGTAGATCATTATAATACCCCAGAGGAATGATTAAAAAAGTGAATCAAGATATAAAACCATATGAGGTGTTGAAATGTTACCTTGAATAAATGATTGCCTTCGGCGCCTCTTTCCCCTTTAACAGGTCAGCGTACCACTTAAGCTGCTCTGCAAAGTTTGCATTGTCAACCCGTTCAGCATGAATTTTGATGTTGGGCCTGACAAATAAAAAAACATCACAATTTTTGAATGCACGAACAAATTCATGTTACGGCCGGATCATATTTCGATGCGGCTGCAACGACATTTTTATGAAATTTCGTGACGTAAAATTCGTTTGCCATCTCCGTTTGCGTGAAGTGTGAACCGGTCTTTAAGGAGAGGAATTTTGTACAATTTCATCTTTAATTCGTTTCATGCTTTATTACTCACCTGTCAGGCAGCACGGCTATGATTTCAAAAGACGATACTTCAAGATTTAAAGTGTGTATGATGTCTTCAACCATGCTTTGAGTTGCAGTCGCAGTTAGGCACACGACGGGTTGTTGGGACAGAATTGATCGGATGGTTGAAATGTTTTTGTATCCATCTCGAAAAGTCCCCCTGATAAAATAATGGGAAAAGTTGGTCATGCATTTAAAAAAATTAAACAAAAGACGGACAAACTATCGACTTCGTTTCCACAGATTTAGACGCATATGAGTTGTGAAAAATGCTCCTTGCAAGTATGGTCACTTTCATTTGTATGGGATGACCGCTCAACTTCAACATCTCTCGTCGAAGGCAAATTGGAAAAGATCGACCATCTATCTCATCAATTACGGTCCCCTCAAACTCTAAAGTGGAATCGTGAATTCGGACCAGACTTAAACTTGTTTATGGACGCTTCACCCGTCCCGCTTCCAGAATAGTATATAGAGTAAATAGTTATAATTTTCATAAAATCTTCTCAACCCACTCTGTCTGCAAGGGGTTATAAGCCAGTGGGAGCGGAAAAGTGGGGCTCCTTAAGGCCTTTTTTCTTGTCCTTTTATTTATGTCAGGATGCATTTTTGTGTGGTCTTTAGTTGTTTTAAATAATACCGAAGAAAGGATAATAAATGACAACGCAATTTCAAGTATCCTACCACTTTGTCATGCAGTGTGCTTCGTCTATAACTACGGCAGTAAGGCGGTTTGCCCATCTTTTGGCGGCAGACCACCACTTGTGTCGCAGTATGGCCTCCGGAGAAGAAAATATCAGTTGAAATTTCCCTTCCGTAATTTCTGCAATAAAATATAACAAGATATCAGAAAATCTATACTATACTAATTGTGTACGCTAATTTTTCCCAAAAGGTTTGAGTGGTTTCCCGCTTATTCCGTCAGAGAAAATTGTCTTATGGTCACATTCTGTGTTCAATGTGTTGAACAATCTTCCCACCTTCCTTGGTAGCATCATCAATTTCATCAGCTCGCATTATCGCGGCACACGTGACACCTCGGGAGCTCCACCTTTCTACCTGGTCGAGCATTAGGGACCTCAGTGGTGAAATGACAAGGGTGATGTGCTCTACATCAGTCTCTATCTGGAAAAAAAGAGATGAACGGTTCAGGTTTGCGCGGTCATGTTTTCTGTTTTAATAGTCGTAATAATACCTTCACTTCAAATTCTTCCATCTTAACTTTTCTAAAGAATTTTAGATAATTTTGCTATTAAATGAGGGTGATTTTATAATCATTAATGGGCAAATTTATAAGGATGATTTGTTTTAGGAAACTTCATTTCTTAATAAAGGATAGCACTTTTCATGCAATACCTTTCATTTCAGCAATTCAAATACAATACAAAGTTCTAGTACAGTAATATCGTTGTTACATAATCTCACAGAATGTTTAACTTCATTAATTAATCACGTTTGTTTTGGAAACACGGTTTAAAAATGTCCTCTGTATTTTTTCTCTACAGTTCTGATTTAATTTAAAGATGATAACGTTAGGCTATAAGCATTCACGCAAAAATAGACTCGCACAAATCTGGAACTGACAAATATTTGCTGTCGATAGGTCAAGTTAAAATAATGGTCACAAACATCAAATTTTCAAATATCGACGGCGTGTTTCTGGAAGATGGATATTCTGTATATTGAACATCGCACACAACAGGCACAATTTCTGTTCAGCAATTCAGGTTCACCATGCTGGGAAGGTTATGTTTGAAAAACCTACACTTTGAATGGGAAATAGTTTTTTTCTTGCACGCGCGTACTGTCGGCGTTTTACATTTAATAAAAATAATAGGCCTAATGTCATTTTCTCGGTTGCTCAATTTGTAGTAAATAGAAAACACAAGTATTTAGAAATTGAAAAGCTCATTCTAAAGTGTCTTGATGAGTGTTACTTACTTTGTCCATGATTGATGACAACCATCCGTAGCAATCACTCTTCCCAAATCCAGTGGGCAGAAGGCCGAACACATTTTTTCGCCTTTCTAAGACAGATCTTATGATCTGAATTTGCTCTGGCTTCAGATTGTACGGGACGCCACATTCCGTCATTACATTATTAATCGCCTTCTCCATCTTACAGAAATTCGATCAACTCGAGCAAACAAGTCTTGAGGAAATTCAGAAAGTCGCAACGTAACTTTTGTATGTCTTTTCTGATTCAACACTCACGGCCGGCGTGACGAACACACTTGCATACGCCCACAATTCTAATACGCATGCGTGAGAGCCATTCAGTTGCTACGCATTTCGCGCATGCGCGCACGCAAGCGCAAGCCTTCACACGAGCAGTCGGTTCGAGATGTTTACAGTCGGAAGCACGAATTAGCGGATAATTTCCTTAAATAATTTATTCCTGGAACATATTGATTACTTCTCAACCATGAATTTGAGTGATTAAGGATACAAGGAATATGTAGACGCCAGTTGAGCTTCCTCTTTAAGGTAAAAATGTGAGAAAATGCTTTCAATCAAATGTTCGCAATGACATGAAAACGTTATACCCTGGACTCCGTCGCGTTGTACACAACGGAGGAGTCCACTGGGCTAGGTCCCACATCAACATGATCAACTTGCTCTCAGCTCAATTCGGTCCTTAGTCAACTCGATCCCATCCAAGCAAAGATCTACATTGTATATTAAACGGGCACTGGGTCTTGACATGCTTGAAATCCCTGAAAAATTCATTTTTAGGTTAGCCTAGGGGGGTGGGGGTCAGACAACTCGACCGTTGAGACAACTCGACTCGGGACAAGTCGACCGTTGAAACAACTCGACCGTTGAGATAATGAGACAACTCGACCGTATGTGCGATAAATGGAAAGACAAGTCGACCGTTGAGACAAGTCGCCTCGCATGTTTTGGGCCTAGTTTCAGGGATAGTACCGGGGATTTTGACGGCGGCTGATCGCCGTTTGGGAGTGATGATGTTACGCCCCAACTATCGCATCGGTCCCAACTATAGTTGGGCCTGTCCCAACTATAGTGCGGCAGTTGGGTCGGCCCAACTATAGTTATAGGACTGGAGTTGCGCCGGATGCTTCATGCTTGATATTAGCCCCATAAATGTGGCCTATTTACTGGACTGCCTCCGTAAACATAGGCCACACATCCACATGTACAAAAACGTGTCGACTTTGCCAAATTTTGATTTTCACATTTAGGCTTACTTTGTAGGTTTTTTTTGCTTTAGAAGCATTCTCACCCTCTATATAGGCTAATCAGAAAGTGCTGCCTTTTTCAGATGTCTAATTTTTGTGAAATTTCATGTTGAAATTTTGATACGTAAACGTGTGCAAATGTATCTGGAAATTTCACAAAAAATGGACATCTGAAAAAGGGGCTAGCTTGGTATGGGGCTAGCTTGATATATCTTGTTGGATTAAAATGTTCCGCAGCGCTGGCACCGTGTATTCGTCGTGCATGCATGCCGCAAGGCTGTAGGGAATGTTTTATAGTCGTACATCAATGTAAACTATAGTTGGGACCGCCAAATAAAAATATTGCGGTGGCCCAACTACAGATGGTCCCCACCCATAGATAATTTCATTGGTCCCAAGTAAAGTCAGATGTGTATTAGAGTTGTAGGGAATGTTTTATAATCGTACAACAATGTACACTATAGTTGGGATGCAAAATAAAAAGATTGGGGTGGCCCAACTATAGATTCGCCCCATCAATAGCTAATTTCAGTGGTCCCCAGTAAAGTCAGACGTGTATCAGAGCTGTAGGGAACGTTTTATAGTTGTACATCAATGTAAACTATAGTTGGGACACCGAAAAATACCGGACACCGGAGTGGTCCAACTATAGATGGGCCAGCCCAACAGTGGAACTTACAGTTGGGACCGTCCCAACTATAGTTGGGCCAGCCCAACTGTGGAACTACAGTTGGGACAGGCCCAACTATAGTTGGGACCGATGCGATAGTTGGGGCGTAACAATGACACATGAGTTTTTTTTGTTGCATATAATTAACACAGCCGATATAGCGCAGCGTGATTGTTCGAATTGAAGGTGAAATTTCTCTTTTCTTCCAAAAGGTATGTAAACCTAACCACCACCATTTGTATTTCCAATTCCCACTGAAGCCTACAGGGTCGTATAAGGCAGTTTGAAGACTGTTTTGGGAGTGAAATCTGAAGATTTTGATTGGGGTTACGAGTGAAAATGGTCAAAAAAGTTATTAGTAACGCAATAAGGCTATGTACCTAGGACTCTACTATCGCCCGACCATGCCCAAATGTTAAAAAAGGCGATTTGTAGAGTCCTAGTTACTCGGACTACATTTTGAACCTAGTGAAATCGATCCGCCGTACATAATTTCGTATGCAGGTTGAGTACGTACCTAGAAATCTATATTTGGCTTCAAGCATGTTCAGGATGTGTCATTTATAAGAAAATTGTCGAAAATGAAGACCCGTCCCATAGGCATACAAACGTATAGAAATTAGATTTCTGCTTCCTATTGCCTTTGGAAACGAGTTTGGAAATAAAGTAAGCACTAGGGAGGAGGTTGGTATGAGTCCAGTAAATCACATGAATCAGGAGGAGGTTGCAGGACGTCCAGATCTTGCCAATTCTTGGGCCAGATTTTACGTCAAAATTCATTCAAATGCAAGATGTGCCGTAGAAGCAGACTGTCAGTTGCCGTGTCACGCGTAGCTGCTCTCTTTTCTCGTCCACAAAACTGACAGCAACGTGAGGCCAGCGAACGATGGCCGTTAAAAGGGCTTCAGAAAATTCACAATTTTCATGCCAAACCACAACCGATCCACACAAACAAAGCTGTTTTAGGTAGTTAACGTGGTTAAGACCTAGTAATACCTGTACATCTGTCAAGGTATTTTTTTTTCTCCAAAAAAGGATTTCGATGCATTGTGACGATATTATTTCACGGACAAATCAACTAAAAATTAAGTGATGAAATGTCCGATATTATTGGACAACGACGAAAGTCTCCTGTTAAGAGTTGTTTACGACAACTCGTGAGAAGAGGCACATACCACAACATAGTTAGAGGGGTGTTTAAAAAAACATGAAGTATAAAGTTGTTGAACAAAATTGTTGGAAATATATATTTTGGGGCTTGTTTTGACTCTTTGACCAAAAATGTATTATTAATGGGAATATGAATTGGCTTGGCTGGTATAAGCGAATCCGTTTAAGACCCGTTGGGGGCATGGTCACCAATAGCATCCCTTGTCTTCGACTCTTCGGCTTGGGTTATTATCAGCTTCCATTCCCTTAATCAGTATTTATATTTGGACTCGTTTAAAACTGGCCAAGCACACATTTATTCCCTTAGTAAATGCTAATTTGCCGGGGGCTTTCTCTGATTGACCTAAATATTATTTTATATAACTGACATACAGATCTTTGTCATTTGATTGATGGAACTCACATCACCTGACATTCTTTATTGTTCCCATTCACGCCGGGGCTCAAAAAGTCCCATTCGCCCATTGGGAATGGGAAATACTATTCAACAGTTTTAAGATCATTCTTGTTCCATAACGCGGTATTTGTGTGCAAATGCATGATGGTGTGCGCGTTCAGCGTTGCGCGTAGCGCGTATTGTTCCAAAGAGCCAGCGCTGCAGAGCTGGGTTCAAACATTATCGTGAATATTTCTAAGGGGTGGTTTGGAAGGGAGAAACACATTTTCCACCAATTTTGTATTGAAATAAAAGTTCAAATATATCAAATGACAAGGATCTATATATCAGTAATATAAAACAAATATTGAGTGGCTTTAAATTGTGAAATGGGAGGAATATTATCGCTCTGTAAAATGTGGACTTTTCCAGTTCACTTGGCTTCGCCTCGTGAAATGGAAAAGTCCAGATTTTACCTTGCAATAATATTCTTCCCATTTCACTCTGAGCCGCTCAACATTTGTATAACATCACATTGGCGGCACCAGAAGTCTAAGTAAATGCTAGTTTGCTGGAGGAATCAAAGACAACGGTGCCTCTGACAAACTAATGGTTACTACAACAAAGCTGGTGTGGTGGATATGACCTACTTCAGTCCTTCTGTTTTGAGGCGTGCGATCACACCCCCACGCCATCACACACCTAAAAGCTTCCTGAGAAGTGCGAATAATCGCACGCCTGAATCCCTCAGCACCGCATACCTCGGCATACATTTCCGGCATAATTATACTTCATAATTTGTGAAAAAGGAAAGATTCCCATATCTGGCTGTCACTAATTTTTCCCTTCAGTGACCTATCAGCCATCAGAAAGTGATATGTCCTAAAAAATCAAATTTAGCAGGGAAAATATTGCAGTGTTTACTGAGAAAACACTTAGAAATGTTCAGACCAGTCTCATATGGTTTGTGCACAGGGTTACAAGTGATGGCCACATTTGGGAATCTTTTCGTGAAAAATTAAAGTACGTCAGTGAAGAGAAAATGGCTTTATTGTAAACCAAGATGAATATTATGTAGGAAAAAATCCAGATTGTTCAGTCCCAGCTTGGATCACAGAATCACACGCCTAGCAAAATCACACGCTTAGAAAAATCACACTCCTAGAAAAATCACACGCCTAGTAAAATTCCATGCCTAGAAAAATTCCAGGTGTGCCTTTTTCCACACACCTGTGAGTTTCAAATCAGGACTGCACTTATGCTTCATTTAACCAGAGAAGCCTCCAGGAAAAACTAGCAAAAGTTTACTAAAAAAAAAAACTGGCGGCAGCCCAAGAGCCACTAAATATCAAAAATAGGCTTTAGGTTCCAGGTGCCTTTTCATGGTCCCCAAAAATTTGAGCTACCGATATCATGCTCTGTAACTGAAATGCTGGGATTGTGGCCATGACATAAATACATGTATGAGGTCAGGAAAATGCATGACTTGTATTGCTGCTCTGGAAATCCAAAGATACCGGTAGCTCCAACCCCCTCCCCCCCCTTCCCCCCAAAAAGTTGAATTTCGAGTAACATTGTTATGATGAAGCCTTATATTCAAAACTACTTGATCATGATCTACTGATTGTAAATGATAACAAATTACTCATTGCCTTTATCTGTTTTATTTACTCTTTTCAGATTCT